CTTGTGGGGACATGTCCAGAGAAGCTATAAAATAAGTGAACACCATATATGCTTCCCTACATAAAGAAGAGAAGTGCTTCCAGCATAAGACAGAAACAACAAATATGAAAATAATCAATTTCATGGGGTCAAAATCATGTTTGAGTCCAACAATAAGCCTTAAAGAATTATACTATGATACCCAACTATTTTGGGGTATCCTATGTAATACTTACTGCATCCAGCATGCAGATGAAAAATATTACATAATTATCCTATTTATAAGCATAGCTCTTTATTATATATGCAGTACACTTAAACATTAGGCATTTGAGAGAATGGACTCAAATACAAGTATATGCAACATTTTAGAAAGAAATAATTCAATAACCATTTCTTCATGGTTGTAGGCACATGTGCAGTGCACACACTTCTTTTTTTTTTTGTATAATTTAGAAGATACCAGCAAGGGACGCCAATAACTACAGCTTTGTATAAGTTGTAGGTGCTATGGCCAAGATCTTTTGAAAAAAAAAAAAATCAGGCCACTTAGGTTAAACCACTGAACTGACATTTAGCACCCAAATTCAGAAGTTCCATAAATTTCAGTGAAGTCGGCATCATCTTTGAAAACCGAAAAGCATGCATTATATCTCAGTATGACAAACAGGTTTCTAATTTCTGGAAAGAAAAAATAAAATTGCCAGAATTATCAGTGACATGTCAATTTGTTTCACTTTCAAGTAGTGTTAACATTAATCAAAGAATATGTTAATTGTTTTCTATTATAGTTCATTTGCAAAAATGTTCAACTTGTATGACAGTGTTGTTTTTGCACCTAAATTCTGAGAGTAAATGTGTACTTTAAGCCTTATGCATTTGAGATCAGATATATAAAAAAAGCTCTTTTTGCCCCATTAATATGATTTCTCAACTTTTCATTCTTATAATTATAATTTAATTACATTTACTCAAGAAGGCCATTTCCCAGGTAAAGAGAGCACTGCCCCTTGTTTTAAATATACTTTGTTTCCACTAACCCATCTTATATTCCCCAAGCAACCACTTTAATTGAAGCACAGTAGCCAAATAAATCCCATTATTGGAATTCAATGTCTGGAAGTTTGTTTATTGATGTTGTTATTAAAACATTTATTATATTCAGAAATCTATTCAAAGAAGTAACCCTTGGAGCATCCATTTTAAAAATGCTCCCAATGGCAAATAGATCGTTTACATTATATTTTTTCCTCAGATCAGGTATCATTCACTGTGTTAAACTTATTGTATAGGTGTTGCAAATGTCCATCTAAAAGAATTAGCCAAATCTTTTAGGGAGAATGTGTTTGAAAAGCACTTTCTCTCATTTCACAAATAAACAATTTTAGAATTGAATAGTTCTACCAGTCTTCCAGGTAAAGTTAAAGTTTGCATCTAGCTATGAAAGCAACAGCAGGTGAACCACAACAAATACTGCAGGACACCCACCTGAACTATGTAAGATGTAGCTAACACAAATGAATGCACAAAACATGAATTAAGGAACCAATGCTCTCAAATGCATATTAAAGTTGGCAGAAGCACCTGCACTTGAAAAATGTAGAACAACAGATTCGATTTTTTCCCCTTAAAATTCACCAGAGAAGCAGCAGCCAAACTCTGAAGCTGCTTTTCCTGTGTACTGTTGCCACGAACGCCCTGCACTTAAGTATACATCGCGCACAATAGAGAATCCAAAACACAGCTGAGCGCTGATATCAGCTGATCTTGCACGGAAATCGCTCAGGGTAAGTAACAGCAGCAGCCTGGATCTAGAGACGTGGAGCAAAGGGTTAACGCCATCACCTGGCTCACAGGGCATAAGAACAGGAACTAGACTTGCCCTCGAGTTGCATTCCCCCAGGGCTGGCAGGGAGAGACGCGGAACGAGCCTCCTACCTTTCTGTACACCAGCATGTTCGGGGACTCATCAGCCACCCCGTTGCTGCTCTGCCCATAATTATTTCCTTGCGCCATGTCCCGGTGATGTGATCCTCTGCTGAACGCTGCTTGGAGCGGTTTGCCACTGCAAAAGGCAAAAGAGTGGGTTCAATGAGACATCGCTACGGGTCTCCTTCCCCCCGCGGGTGATTAATGGAGCTGCCTCCCTACCAACACGCTAGCAGCGGCAGCAGTGTGAGCTCTTACTCCAACCAGATATTTACATGGGTGGGGAGGGGGGAGAAGCAGCCGAATCACTCGTTGCTGCCCTTACCCCCCATCACCTTCAGACAAAGAGCTCGTGTAAGGTGTTAACTTAATTTGGACCATAAATAAATTGCCATTTCAAATAGCTTCTTGCCAGGCGGTGCCATGCAAGAATGTTTCTCTCCTTCCCCCCACAAAGGATAGATGCTGGGTTGTCTGCCCGGCTCCAGCCTCTCCTCCCCTCTCCCCGCCACTTTGCCAAGGGCTCCCCTTCCTAATTATTCCCATTGTGGCTGATTCCATGCATACACCCCTCTCCAGTGCACCTGGGGCTGGTCAGCCTCAGGCATTACCCCCTATCATCCCGCAGCACACGTGTGCCCTCCCAGAGCCACAGAAGCCTGCCTGGCCACCACCCGCTACTTTTCTCCTTACTTGGTGTCCAAATCCCTACTCCCTCACAAGTCCTGTTGTGCCCCCCACACACCAATCCACAGTCCCCAGGAGAGCAGGGGGCTGCACTAAGCAGGACCCCCAAGCACTCTGCATAGGCTCTGCCTTTGCAACCAGGCAGGTGTGAGAAGAGTGCGCTCCATTCCCGGACCACCCAGCAAGCCGGATGGCCGGGTCCAGCTCGACCTTGTCCCCCAGCTGTCGTGGGGAGCAGCGTACCCCCCGGGGTGGCCGCTGGAGGGGAGTCGGCTGCTGATCCCTTCTCCCTCCCCTCCTCCAGCCCCCCAGCAGCAAATGGCAGTCGAGGAGGCTTTGCCCTGCGGCGAGCTCGGGGGTTCAGCACCGCGGACAGCGCCACCGGAGCAGGGTTTCAGCACCGCGGACAGCGCCACCAGAGCCCCAGCCGGCGCGGGGCTACGAGGAGAGCCCGAGCGCCCTGCTCGCACTCACACTCACACACACGCACACACGCGCGCACACACACACGCACACACACGCGCACACACTCTCCCCGCCCTGCTTATTTACCTCCTGGGCCAAGGTCACTGCACCGCGCCAGCCGCTGCTCTCCTCCCGCCCGCCCCGCCGCGTGCCCCGTGCGGCGGTGGTCAGCCGGCAGCAGGCGGAGGGAGGCACTGATCATTCATCACACAAACAATGCGGACAGAGGGCTGCTGCCGCCGCCGAGGCTGCGACTCCCCCACCTCCCCCCGCCAAGCTTTGCAGGAGCGGCTGGAGCTCCCCCCCCCGGATGGGGGTGCGCAGCTCCCTCCCTGGAATGGAGCTGCCCGTCACGTGGGGAAATGGGACGTCAAAGGTGCTGCTGCTGCTGCTGCTGCCGCTCCAACACAAGGCAACTTGCAGCCTCCTCTTCCTCCTGCTGCTGCTGCTGCTCTGGGCCAAAAAAAAAGCAGCCACGGAACTGCAGCTGCCTGCAGACCTGGCAGCAGCCTCGAAGTAAATGAGATTAGGCAAGGGGGGGGCAGTACTAGAATGTGGGCTAATCGCATGGCGCAGGGCGGGAGGAGGAGGAGAAATAGTAGGGGCGGGGGAGGGGAGGGGAGAAGTGTGTCATACTCCCCTGCCCTGGTAGGCAGGCTGGGGACTTGAGGGATCTCTCCTCTGAAAGCAGCCTAGGGGTAATTGCTTTCCAGAGGGGCCTTCTTCACATGCGGGTGGGCAAGTTTCCACCCGGTCTGGAGCAGCTGGGAGGCAGGAAGTTGAGGCTGAGGTTGAACTAGGGCTTGAGCACCTGCACCTGCCCCTAGGAAAATCAAAGCCTATCACTACTTCTAGGAGAACACAAAGAATTGTCATTTGTTGGGATGGACCATAGGGCCATCTAGCCCAGCACCCACCCTATGTCACATGGTGGCAGAAGGGCATGCTGAAAAGGAGAGTGAGCTGGGTCTGGCCAGGGTGTCGTCCCCCCCTCCCCCCTCCCCCTCACACACACACACACACACACACACACACACACTCTCTCTCTCTCTCTCTCTCTCTCTGTTCCTCTCTCATTTGCAGCCTCCAACATTTAAGTTCTAGGGACCAAACATGGATATGACTGGCTCTTAGGGAGCCACACTTGAAAGAGTTCGCTCAGGACACAGACAATGATGAGCAAGAACAGCAGCAAGGCAGAATTAGCCATTTGGAGCATGAGAGTAATTTTTCTATGGTGTACTGCCCCTTGTGGAGCATCTGCCAGGAGTGTCCAAGCTGGAAGAGCCCATACCTGCATATTGAATCACATCGATCAAGAGGGAAAAGTATGGAAAAGAGACACTAATGACTTTGTCACCTATGACATGTCCTGACTGAGGTGCCTTACCCTGCTCAGCAGGCTGCCTTTGAGCTACTTAGAAGGAAACCAATATTGTCATTTGTTAAGTGCCTGGCAGTAATAAAGTTGGCAACACATAAAAGACAGTCCCTGCCCTAGTTGGTGTAGGCCCATTCTCTGCTGTCCTGAAGGAAGAACAACATGATGGGCTCTGAGAAGGAGTCAGGGAAACTGCCTTAAACAGCTTGGGCAGCAGCAAGGCCACTGGCATATCAATGGCCTCCCACAGTGAGACACGGCTAGAAGAAGACATAAGTCCAAAAATATCTGTGCAAGGGGTGCAACGGAGATGGAGATCAAGAACTGAGCTGGGATTAAGGGCACAGTCAACTAAAAGCACTGGCTAAGCAAGATCCAAATCTTCTCATGTCTCCACACAACATTTGACCATTTTGCTACACGTGTTTGCACTTGTTTATTGTACTTTGCAAGGGCTTTCATTGTACATGCATCTTAAAGCAGTGTGCATTGCAGCAGGTGTTGTATAGTCTGAGGTTCTGTGCCATAGTTACAGGTGGTTTAACTAATGGTTTAGTCCCACTTCTTCATTACTTCCTTGGAGTATTCCACTCCTGTACTAAGGCAGTTCAGACATCACCACCTCTGCCATGGTTTGCCATGCTTCTGCTATGGGGGCCATAGCAAAAGCACTCACATAATGACCCCTGTCAGGTAATACCTGTGAATGCTGCTAACACTCCAAACCACAATTTTGAGAGCCAGATTAAGCACCCTCTCAGGGACACAGACAATTTTAGAAGGCAAAAGATGAAAAACTCATAGAGTCAAAGTTAGATGAGAAAAGGGAGCCAAACTGAGAATGCTGGGTGACAAGGCAACTGGGAGCTCTGTAGAAAAAGCAGAGGTGGCAACTGTAAAAAAAGCAGAGGTGGCTTTGATAGGACAAGGCAAATTTGCAGATTCAGAGGCAAGAGAGAGGAGAGAGAGAGATTCAAGTCCTTTGGGAGTTGAAAAATGATCAGGAGGGTCTCTGTAAAGAAGAGCAGATTCTTGTAAATAACTGGGGACAAGTGAAAGGAGTCCTTTCACAGGATAAAGCCAAGACAAATTTTTGTGAAAGCAGAGATTAGCAGGAAGGGAAACAGAGGAGTTCAGCCAAATTAGAAAAAAGGGCTCTGTTGCAGAACAGAGTTTAGGAAGCCGGGGTGGGGGGGAGGAAAAGGAAAAGATGACCTCAGGGATGACTGGGAAAGTTTTGGATGAAGAAAGCAATGTGAGGATGAGCAAAGGCGACAAGAGTAAGACTGAGGATCCAGAGGGACAGAACTGAGAGTGAGAGATTAAGAGTAGAGTAGAAGGGGAGAGCTTTGGGGCAGATGTCTACATGTTTATCAGGTAGTTAAATGAGATTCTTTATGGTGAAAGAAAGGAGGCACAAGATTAGAGGACTTTGAAAGGCAGGGAAGGGAAGAAGAAGCATTAGGAGAGTGGAAAAGAAAGAGTTGAACTGTTTGGGCAAAAATGCACAAGAGTAAAGGAAGAGAATCAGCAAAACCAAAGAATGAACTAAAAGGGCTGAGAAAATGCTTGTCTCCTATAAATCCCTTTGGCATGCATTAGCAATTAGTCAAAGCTGTGAAATGTAGCTACAAGTCTTAAAGTTCATTGAGAGACAGACAGTCACTAGCCATGATGATTTGGATCTAGTATTTGGTCCTAGAGTTCCAAACTTGAATCCCATCTCTTAAATGAGCAAACAAAGGTCGTCAGATATAACAGTGATAAATGCTGTATACAATTCTAGTAGCACTGAAGTGTTGTTCTTGCCAAAACCTTGTCTAACATCTTTCCCAACTATACAGTTGGCCTAATAAAAGATAGCATAACAAAAGCCCTTACTTCTTATATACATCTCTAGACAGAAATGAAAGAAGTTGAAGAAAAGCAGATTTTTTTATAATCAGTTTACAAACAGAAATCATACCTTTTGCTGGAGACCATAAAAAAGATGACACTTAGAATGTTTATTTAATTGACTAGCTTTCTGAAAGATAAATATAAATTTATCCTACAAAATCTCACAGGAAAAATATGAAAGATTCATATATGTTTTAGTCTAACGTACAGTACAGTAATAGTCAATTAACTAATTGAGTGAATTCATTTTAATACATTTTAATGTGAATGGATTGGCATGAAGATAAATATCACTGGGTTGGCAATGTAGTTATAAAGTTTTTTTCTTACATTACTATCATCTTGTTATTGATTTGAGAGAGAGAATGAGAGAGGGGGGCCTAATTGGTTCTGCAGTCCTCACAGTAAACAAATGAAATAGTTTACATTGTAAGGGTTGTCTCCAATATATCCATTTTCTATAAATAATTCAAACATCAACAATTTTTGGCACAGGTTGTATGTGTTGTGAATGCTGCAGCATGAAATAATTCATTGGAATAGCAAACTATTTAAGTTTTCCATTGCTCTGAGGACTGGGCAAAATACTGGGTAAAAACAAAGGTCAAGATTCCCCAACTGTGGTATGCTATTTTAACCACATAGCTTGTAAAGTATCTCTCTAGTCAACGTAGCCTAAACCAATTTCACAAATCAAGCAAGAA